CTGCCCTGCCCTGCCCTGTCTGGGCCAAGCCTGGTTGCTGTGGTGATGCCGCAGCGCAGCTCTTTGCCTCAGCAGTAGAGTGTGGCGGCCACACCAAAAAAGAAAGCTACAGACCACTTGTTGCAACTGCAAAGGGAGCAGCTGTTGTAGGTTGGCTTGTAATTTAGCATTCCTTTTCCACAAGGAAGTGAGCTCCAACAGCGTCGCGCGAGAGAGCCGAGAGAGAGAGAGAGACGGAGAGAGAGAGAGAGCGGAGAGTAGAGATCTAGAGCGATCAGCTGAGAGAGCAGCAAGCGCTCTGAGCGGCTTAGAGAGAGCTCTCTAGAGATGAGCGAGCGAGATAGAGCTCTCTCTATCGCTTCTCTCATCTCTCTCTCTCTCTCTCTCTCTCTCTCTCTCTCTCTCTCTCTCTCTCTCTCTCTCTCTCTCTCTCTCTCTCTCTGCCCCTGAGCAAGGCAGTTAACCCACTGTTCCCCGGGCGCAGTTGAATGCATTCAGTTGTACAACTGGTATCCCCCTTTCACTTTCCTTTCTCTCTAATACACCAGGATGAGGAAAGGGAACCATTTGTTCTCTAGCTTCTCTCTCTACTGTTTAGCTGGCTTCTGGTTGCGTAACAGAAAACAGGGTATTTTAACATAACCTATTCATTCTGCATCACTTCGTCCTCTCAGCACTGCTGCTGATTGGTTGATGGGACGGAATGAGGTGAGGTGTGTTTACTCAAACCCCCCAAAGACTGAAATCACACACATGGTTTAATCACCTGGTTTATATCACACCTGTTTAGCACTGAGAACCGTGCAGGGCAGGGAACAGTGGTGGTAGTGTTTAACAGTCACACCCACACTATGCAGCGTATGCTATTAAGGAGTAGTCTCTGGGGAAGATGCAACAAAATGCTGAGGGCCTCGTGGAGTCAACCAATCATAGACCTGGGTTTCTTCGCTTTCCATTTGTTTGTTGGTTAAGAGGAACACAAATCAGAGTCCATTACTTATTTAGAGCCCATGATCTGTTTATCATGGCGGTGAAAGGACAGGGGAGGAAACCATGCTCAGGAAACACACACACACACACCGGTGCTCAGCAAACCCTGGGTGTCTGGATTATGATGCTGTCTAAATGCAGAAAGATATGTGGTGAAATGTGTTTTTCGAAACATTTTTTTATTGCCACTCATAATGGTGCAGCATGGCTATGCACTTTATTGAAAGGCATACAAGATCTGAGTGGTCGAATTGACATCTAACGTGATAGCCATTAGTTTGATCTGTGTTATTTACATAATTATAAAGTATTCACTTTATTTCTTTACTGCAGGTTCCTCCTCTGTAACCCTGTGCTCTCTTCCCACTGCAGGCTGTACTTAACTCTGAGTAGAGCCACTGTATTATGTTAATCACTCCCTGCCTTCCTCCCTCAGTCACACAGGCTTTGTATGGACTATCAAGGAGGAGAGGAGTGAACAGGAGTTTGTGTGGTAAATGTTCAGGCGGTGATTGAGGCGTGTGTGTACGTGCGTGTGGGCGTGTGTGTGTTTGTGTGTGCTTGCAGGCATTTGTATGCGCTTGCAGGTGTGTGTGTGTGTAGAACAGGGGCCCGCGGCGCAAGTGTTTGTTTTTTGGGCCCCAAAAGTGTAGTTCTTCTTTTTATGATTTTAGTTTTTGGTCAAAAAAGACTGTAAAATCACCAGGAATTCAGCAAAATTAGTTTAATTTAGGAAATCTGTTCCCAAGTATTCCCACAAATAAAGTAAAAGAGACGTGATCGTATCTCAGTGTAATCAAGGTATGAAATTATTGTTATTTTCAAATACAATGTATTTTGGGGCTTAGTTGTGGTCAATTTGCAGTGTACTAATTATTATAATTATGTTCCGGCCCCCGAACATCCACTCCGACAGAAATCGGCCTGCGGTTGAATGTAGTTGCTTACCCCTGATGTAGACTCTTCAGCACCTCAGCTCATCTCACACTTAAGTTCCTCTTTTGTTCACAAGTGAATGTGTTGAAATTCATCATCCCTGTTTAGAACTGGTATACCTATAATTTGCACATCTCCTAGCAACAAGCCTTTGAACAACTAAATATAACCAATTGGAAAGGTGTCACGTTAGAATCTGCTCTACTGCCTATGAATGCTGTGTACTGTAGGAGTGTATTGCAAAGTCCCACAGGTCCGTCGAAGCTATCATGAACAATATGTTAGTGACTCTAATCAAACACTCACAGATCCATGTTTAACGTAATTGCACCGAATAATTACCTGGCTTTTATGTGAGTAAAAAGACAAGAAAATAATCTGGGATATACACTGTAGAATCCAGTTACAACTGAGAGTGGATTTCTACCAGAAAAACACTCAGCAACTCAAGGGTAATGGTAGTGTTGACAATGACATTACATCTCTGTACTGATCACATTGGTACTGTTTGACTTGGCTGCCGTCTGTCTCAGTCGCCTCTCCCCCTCTTCTTACACTGTCAAACAAATTCCATCACAACACATTTTGAAGACAACTTTTTCCTGACAGAGGGACATAAAACAATCTCCTCTAGAGAACCTCTGTATACGTTTTCTGGTTTGAACTAAATCGCTTAGTTGTAGTGAGTTGAGACTGCACGGTAGAGTGACAATGAGCTGAATGTGACGTGTCAGGTTCAAACAGCTTTAGATGTATAGATGTGTAGCTGAATGTCACCCTGGTAGAGTTGCAGACTCCCTGGGGTGGGACGCCCAACCTGGCTGTGTCTCACTAGGGGGGCTCAGAGTGGCATGGCTCAGCTCTCTGGCTGCCCCCTCCAGTCTTCAGGCTCCCTGTCTATGTACGTCTGCCTGTGAGGCTCCGCAACCTGTGATACAACACACACCACAGCGGAGAACGCACCCCAACACACACCCACACCCAGCTCTTTCATGTCACATAGCCTCAACGGCTCTGACTGGCACTGCTTACTACAGCCACAAGGGCATTGCACTAGTGTGTGTGTGTGTTTCTCTCCCTACCTCTTCCTCAGTTTCTCTCACTCCCTCCTTTCCCCTCTCTCTCTCTCTCTCTCTCTCTCCCTCTTCCTCGCGGAGGAGCAGATGGACCATAGAGCTCATTATAAAAACAAACATGGTGGTTCCACTCCACCTGAACCAAACAGTGCCATATCTGGATTGGCTACACATTAGAGAAATTGAATTGACCCCTAATTTAACTCAGTTTGAAATGTCAGAGAGAGGCGATGCAGAGGAAGAGAGAGAGAACAAGGAGGAGAGGGGAGAAATACAGAGAAGTGCCTCTATGTGAGAGTGTGGGGGTAGGATGAGGGGAAGGAAGGGGCTAGGGTGATGGTTTTCCAACCATCTCATTAGTCCCTTCTTGACAGAAATTAGTCATGCGTGAGATTGATAGGATGCAGTCTGAATTCATTTAATCCCCACAGCTCCCTCGCTCTCCGTTAATTTAAATAAAAGAGTCTTCAATGTGCTTGAAGATAGGTCTGCACATGTGAAGGCTGTGTATGGTGTTTTCATGAATGCAAATGAATTGGAAATAAAATTGAGAAGAGTGCTTGAGGATGGGTAATTCTGATATAAGTATTCAGACCTTATTCCTATGAGACTCGAAATTGAGCTCAGGTGCATCCTGTTTCCATTGATCATCCTTGAGATGTTTCTACAACTTGATTGACATGATTTGGAAAGGCACACACCTGTCTATATAAGGTCCCACAGTTGACAGTGCATGTCAGAAAAAAAACCAAGCCATGAAGTCTAAAGAATTGTCCGTAGATCTCCGAGACAGGATTGTGTCGAGGCACAGATCTGGGGAAGGGTACCAAAAAATGTCTGCAACATTGAAGGTCCCCAAGAACACAGTGGCCTCGATCATTCTTAAATGGAAGAAGTTTGGAACCACCAAGACTTCCTAGAGCTGGCCACCCGGCCAAACTGAGCAATCATGTGAGAAGGGCCTTGGTCAGGGAGGTGACCAAGAACCCGATGGTCACTCTGACAGAGCTCCAGAGTTCCTCTGTGGAGATGGGAGAACCTTCCAGAAGGACAACCATCTCTGCAGCACTCCACCAATCAGGCCTTTATGGTAGAGTGGCCAGATGGAAGCCACTCCTCAGTAAAAGGCACAGGACAGCCCGCTTGGAGTTTGCCAAAAGGCACCTAAAGGACTCTCAGACCATGAGAAACAAGATTCTCTGGTCTGATGAAACCAAGATTGAAATCATTGGCCTGAATGCCAAGTGTCATGCCTGGAAGAAAACTGGCACCATCTCTACAGTGAAGCATGGTGGTGGCAGCATCATGCTGTGGGGATGTTTTTCAGCGGCAGGGACTTGAACCCAATCGAACATCTCTGTAGAGACCTGAAAATAGCTGTGCAGCGACTCTCCCCATCCAACCTGACAGAGCTTGAGAGGATCTGCAGAGAAGAATTAGAGAAACTCCCCAAATAAAGGTGAGCCAAGCTTGTAGCGTCATACCCAAGAAGACGCGAGGCTGTAATCGCTGCCAAAGGTGCTTCAACAAAGTACTGAGTAAAGGGTCTGAATACTTATGTAAATGTCATATTTCCGGTTTTTTATTTTTAATACATTTGCAAACATTTCTAAAAACCTGTTTTTGCTTTGTCATTATGGGGTATTGTGTGTAGATTGATGAGGGGAAAAAACAAATGTAATCAATTTTAGAATAAGGCTGTAACGTAACAAAATTTTGAGTGTCAAAGGGTACAGTATGTTCACTGCACTGTTCAATGCACTGTATGTTCAATGGTACAGGTTATCTCAAGACAACCATACTGAAAATGTGTTTAATTACAGAAATAGTAGTAAAACCTAAAATCCAACCAAGCACTAATATTTCATAGAGGAACAAATGTATTCATTTGTAGCAGGTGACGGTGCACACAGCAATCTATGCTTCCATGTGGTTATTGAAACAACGTTAACTTATAACTCATCCCTAACTCTCTCTCTCTGTTCCTCCTATCTAGACGTGGTGGTGAACGGGAAACCGTGTGACTGTGACATCATCGCCGACTGTAAGGTGGGCGACGCTGTGCCATTGGAGGTGAAACTGACCAATCACAGTAAGAACGCGGTTGGACCGTTCGCCCTGACCGTGGTTCCCTTCCAGGACTACCAGAACGGAGTTCAGAACTATGACCTGCAGGACGCAGTCACCTTCATAGGATCTAACACCTTCTACATAGACACGGTTTGTGTGTGTGTCCAGAACTACGTGTGTGTGCAGAACTGTGTGTGTGAATGGTGGCAAAACTATTGTCAGATAGGTTAGCTATCCATAGGCACACTAAATAATGTATCTTTGTGTGTTGTCTTCCCAGGTGAACCCCACAGAGAACTCTGTGTGTGTGGGAGCCCTCCTGTTCCTCTTCACTGGAGACTTCTACCTCAACATCAAATTCCAGGACGACAGTGCTGGCCAGGGCAAAGCGCTGCCCCCATCCTGGTTCGGCCTGCCCAGCTTACACATCAAAGCCCTGGAGGCACCCATAGAGGCTGGGGCATAGAGCCTTGCACTCTATACATGAATTTCTTGCATCATTCTCCTCGGCTCCTTCTCTAAACTTCATACTCAGCATTCTCACATCTCTCTGACGTTTGAGGAGGTGGTGAGGCATGGAGGAAAAGATAGGTTGACCCACTTGCTGCACATCACTGAAGGCATGGATGGATGGATGGATGGATGGATGGATGGATGGATGGATGGATGGATGGAGGAGAGGACAGTGGACGATGACACATTGGACTAAATATTCTAGTGGTTAGCTGATGTCACTCAATCATTTGTAAACAGCTGCTGTAACTCTGTTTGAGGTATTTGTGTATACTCTGTTAAAGCATGAAGGAGACAGTAGGTCTTACTGGATTTGGAAATCACCTTTTGAATCATTTTAGGAATTTCAGCACCATGGAATCAATCATTAAATGTATCAGCCATGGTTTTGTGTTGTGAAAAGATCATAAGGTCACCTCTTTCCTGCTTTTCACTCAGCTCACCAGGGATATAGGGCATTGTACCATCCTGATGCGCTCCAAATGGGAAAAGGGTGTCAAGTCCTGGCAAGTTCTCTGTGTTATTATGTGTCCAATCCTTCTCTCACGACAATCTGTCTGAGCAGCACAGTAGAGATACTCTCATGTAACCATGGTTATGAAGCAGCATCCTCCTGGGTATATGATTCTAGTTCTGTCTGTATGTAAATATATAATATATTCTGAGAGGCACAGTGTATTACTCCACCACATGAATCCACAATCACCTCTATTGATTTGTGGTTTCTGCTACTGCAATTAGCTTGATTCGCTGTTTTGTCTCTCTCTCTGCGTGACTGTAAACTGACTGATCTTTACTACTGAGCTTGTATGTTTGGGCCTCTGTATCTCCCTGTCGATAAAATCCTACAATAAATGTTGAGTTGAGCCAACTTCTGAAAGGGCGTTGTTTGCATGTATTTGATATATAGACACAAGTCTTGTAAATTTACCTGATAACTTAATGTAGGAGATATCCATTTCCATGCTGCGCTGTAGCCTATCCCCTTCGTTCACACAGCCACTGACAGAAGCCCATAAAGAGATGCATGACGCATCAACACTCCAGAATTACCACTGGTAATAAAGTGCCAGTGGCCATGCATAATATACACTCAGTTGACAAAACATTAAGAACACCTTCCTAATATTGAGTTGCACCCCTTTTTTCCCCTCAGAACAGCCTCAGTTTGTCGGGGCATGGACTCTACAAGGTGTCGAAAGCATTCCACAGGGATGCTGGCCCATGTTGACTCCAATGCTTTCCACAGTTGTGTCAAGTTGTCTGGATGTCCTTTGGGTGGTGGACCATTCTTGATACACACAGGAAAGTGTTGAGCGTGAAAAATCCAGCAGGGTTGCAGTTCTTGACATAAACCAGTGCGCCTGGCACCTACTACCATACCCAGTTCAAAGGCACTTAAATATGTTGTCTTGCCCATTCACTCTCTGAATGGCACACATACACAACCCATGTCTTAATTGTCTCAAGGCTTAAAGGTAATTATTTAACCTGTCTCCTCCCCTTCATCTACACTGATTGAAGTGGATTTAACAAGTGACATCAATAAGGGATCATAGCTTTCACCTGGATTTAACTGGTCAGTCTATGTCATGGAAAGAACAGGTGTCTGTAATGTTTTGTACACTCAGTGTAGATTTGATGAATGGAGAGTGAATGTTAAGTGTACACACACACGTTAGCAGGTGAATCCTTTACAAAACAAATTGCTATCATGATAAACGGGGAGCCTTGGGCAGAGTTCTCCTACGCCACCTTGAATAAAAAGCCATTATGTTAGGTAAGTGAAGCATGTTACTGTTTCCTGTAGAGCAGAATGAAACACTTCCTAGATGAAGGGAGACTGAGGAGACCAGGCGGGGGTGGAACAGGTACTGCTGGTTCCTGTACTAACACACATACTCACTTCACTAGGAACAACCCAGATCTTTCATCTCAATGTTCCAGACAACCATGTGCCACAGCAGCAGTCAAAGTGGTTATCTAATGTGTGTCTGTCCCTTAACAGCAATGAGACTAGAGCATGGCAAAACAAGGTGAGATAGGCCCAACAACAAGCCATCAGAAAGAAAGTGTATTTTGTGGCTGTAGCTAATCATCGCAGGTCTGCCTCCCTGAGCCTACGGCTACTGCCTTATCATAGGCAGAGCACAGCCACAGTGAACCAATAGGAGATGAGGGGCAGAGATTCAATCAGTATCGCTGAAGCACGATCAAAATGTAAAGGTAATTTCCGCTTGAGCCGTTATACCATGAATGCAGTCTCCGCTAATGCGGGAACATTCCCACTGGGCAAAAACTGGTTGAATCAACGTTGTTTCCACGTCATTTCAACAACAAAATTCAATGTGATGACATTGAATCAACATGGAAAACTGATTGGATTTGCAAAAAGTATTTTTTTCACCTAAATCCCATGACATGGTGACATTTTGTGTTGATTTCAGGTTGAATTCATGTTAGTTGACAACTCAACCAAATGTAAATCAAAACTAGACGTTGAAATTACATCTGTTCCCAATGGGTTACCTTACCTTTAAATTTCAACCACGCTATAACGGATGAGGCTGGAAGGCCTGTTTTACAACCCTCTGGATGTGGGTGGGTGGGATGGGGAGAGGGACCCCACCAACCCACAGTAGACAAACAGGAGATCGGGAGAGGAGATTAGGCTGTGGAGAGATAGAGGTCTGTCTGGCAGTATGCTGGAGAGGCTGAAGAGTTCTGACAACCGTGTAGTTGTGGATGGGAGAGGGATCCATCCCACTAGCCCCAGGTCTATTGTAGGGATGCTTGGTCTTGGATAAGCTGCTGCTTATCAGTGAGTGAAGTGAACAACTGATGGGCGATCATCCCTCCGCTCCCCACAGCACAGAACAGCACTGGTACAACTACAGGCACTGACAGTATACACTCCCCTGTCCAACCTTACCATCCTGACGCTAGCTTATCCTTGCACCCCCCATAGCACAGCTCAGCATCAATACAGAATCAGCATAATGACAAAAACTAGCTTACAGTCAGTCCCCTGTTCAACCTCCTCACTGTCATGATGCTAGCTTATTCTTGCCTATCTACCCTGTCTGCTGGGGTGTAATGAGATGAAGGATTATAGTAATTGCTGGAATCTTGGATGCATTGCACATTTTGAGACAAAGCTATTGAGGAGTATTGGCTCCTTAAATTCTAATATTGCTCTTGATTGTGCAGTACTATATAAGTCATTTATTTCTAAATTACCAGTTTGATGTTCTATTTTCCACAGGGAGAAAAGGCCCTATTGTCCAGACAAAAACAGAGGTGAATATCATAGAAAGGATTCCATGTTAACTCTTAGAAATTAATTTCATAATTGCATCGCTCTAAGTCATAAGGTAATAGAGATGAAACATTCCTTCATTCAATGTACAAAGTGTATACAGGTCGCAGTTGTAAATGAGAACTTGTTCTCAACTGGCTTACCTGGTTAAATAAAGGTTAAATAAAAAAAATAAAAAAAGACATTGAATATGACTGTAACAGCTTAATCACCCTCTAACATTGCATTTCTCATTTTCACAGCAAGGTAATTTTCCAAGCGAAACAAACAACACAATTCTCCTCGATGCAAATGTGAGATTGATTTTCTAAATCATTCCAATGCATATTCTCAGGATAGGTCTCATGTGTATATGTGCACTTCTAAAATAGTTATCTGGAGATCCACTTTCTGCAATTGATTGAATACAGGCCTTCATGTGTATAGCCAATAAATTACAATTAACACAATTGTCTTATTATGTCATTATAAATAATGAATGACCATGGAGGTTACAGTGTATTTAGCTAACCCAAGGCGTATTCTGGTGACAGAAAAACCATACTGTAAGATATTATATTCTCTTATCAAAACATATGATTCTCTCTAAAAGCATGCTCATCTAAAACACAATATACTGTATCTGTTAAAACAGCTCTGTGCCATATTACCAGATCACACTGAGCAGCACAAGCTTTGATCGCAACAGTACATAATCTAAATGTAAGAACCACACTTAAAAAATTGATTTATCTTTCGAAGAGCTGAAAAATTAATCTCGTATTTGCATAAACAATACTGTAGAGAAGCCCCTGAGAGTCAGATATTTTATTTTATTTTAATATTTAGTATGGATCATGCTGACAAGTGCCCTGAAGACTGAAACACTAGCTCAGTTTAGTTGGAAGTTTGAATGAATAATGCATAGACATGTTGCTGACCTACATCATGTAACTGAGTAAACAAATGAAAGCAATGGCTTCTCCATCTCTTTATCTGGTTTTGTTGTTGATGATTATTATTCTGATAAAGAAGCTGTCTTGCAGGTGCTAATGTTATGGGAAGATGAGGTAGATGGAATCAAATTAGGTCTGGGACTTCCATTAGTAAAACGAAAACAACAAACTAATAATATAAAACTGTCTCTCTCTCTCTTTTTCTCTCTCTTCCTTTCTCCCTCTCTCATATAAAGGTTACGTAGAGAAATAGATATGAACAATACATGTGAGATATCTCTCCTCTAAAGAGGTTTGAGCATGATTGTGGATTCCATCCCTGCCATTTTATTGGCTGGGAACAGAACAAGGCCTGGATGCTTTGTCAATCTATCTGTCTGCACCCTGCAGCCACTGATAAGCTCCAAACACTTCCATTTTATTTGTCTGCTTCAGCAGAACTAGAATATTCTCTCTCTCCTTCACCATGTGTTGTTGTTCAGTTCTATTATCAATCACCACCATTTACTGAATAGAAGTCTGTCTCCCCCATTTTAAATCTGCATAGTAAAGAAAGAAAAGTACTTAAGGATGGTGAGTCTTAGTCTAGACTGTAATGTCTTCAGTCTGAACTTTCTTTGTCAATTAGCTAGCTATTTACTTGACATTAGCCATTACCGCTCCAATAGCAATGGGGGAGCTCAGCCCGTAGAGAAG